ATCACATAAGTACATAGCCACATGATAAACATGCTGTCATGTTAACATTCATACTTATGCGAGATGCTAAAGCATAAATACTTACAGCGTACTCCGAGCCAAGACAAAGAACATGTTAGCAATCAAACGTATGCATCACAAGCAAAATGCAATCTAGAATAGGCTCGGCTAATCCTAGGATGGCATGTGAAATGCAACAAGTAACACGTATTCAAGTTAGATTTGAAATACTATGCAATTAGCATGATGCGCCGAGCCCAGTGCATGCAATACTGATGAATGAATGCACGCATGCATAGCATAAGGTATGCTAAATTAAATATGCCCTAGTACTAACCATCAAAAGCAGGTAAGTAAAAGGGAGAAAGAAATGGGGGTTGGAAGACATGCACACACACACCTACACTTATTACACATTCGCCCTCATTCGGAGGGACCAAAAGAATAATACAAATTAATTAACCCACAAGCTAATTAATTATTACAGACCACTTAACTAGTTAAGCAAATTAACTAAGCTAAGACCATCTCCAACGGTGAACCAAACCCAGCATCAAATTCAAATTTTGATGAAAAACTTACTTTTCAAGCTCCAACCGTTGCACCAGATTGATATCAAAATGAGATTTCAGCAAAAAAAATATCAAACTGAGAACGAGATACAGATTTTACCAAATCACTGTTACTAACCGTTGAAAGAGGTACACCGGTCAACCAGCCAGTTGCCCGGCCGGTTGACCAGTAAAAGATTCAAACAGTTTAGGAAAAAAAGTTCAAACAAAAAAAAAAAAAAAAAAAAAAATTTTGCCTAACCGGTCAACCGGCCGGGTGGTCGAGGGATAGATTTGATGAAAGGTGAACCGTTGGAGCGAATGGTATCAATTTAGTGAAATGGGTAATTTTTGACTCAAATTTGGTGAAAAATTTGAGTCACCGTTGGAGATGCTCTAAGAAAGCAATAAAACAGCCTTGGGTAGAGGGTCCAATGCATGCGTGCTCGGGTTTGCTCGGAAATCCATCACCATGCACAAGCTGGCTCTGTTTACCCTGCTTTGCTCTTCTGAAAATTGCACAAGTCCCAAGGAACACTCTTTGAACACTGTAGAGCATCACCGACCATGGTAGAAGGGTCATCGAGCAAATATTCAGCTCTCGGCCATCCATCGTTGGTCGACCGGCCATATTTATCTGCAGAATCCTGTTTTGACAACAGCAGAGGGCAAACATGGCATGGCAATGCATTTCAAGCAAATGTTTGCACAAACACCCTCCTTATCATGTTCATGACTCAAAGGAGGATGGTCCTCGACCCTCGGGCCACCAATCGCGCATTTCAATGCGTGTTGGCCAAAGAGGCCAAGTTATGCATTTTGATGTCAAATGAAATGCAAACCAAATAAACACATAAGGCCTAACCTTTATCACTTGATCAAGAGACAAGGCATGTATGCTCAATGTAATGCAATCTAGACATGTGAGCTAAGTATACAATCATGAGCATGAAAGCAAGTAATGTGTATTAAGCACACAACCTAAACAAACAAACATGCAAGACATGTAACAACATGTGCAAGCCAACAAGCATGCAATATGCAATGCGAACATGCAAACATGCAAGACACGTAACATGTTAAGCAACCAAGACAAAAGGAAGAAAACATGCTAAATGCAATGTGATTCAAGCATGCAACACATGCGATAGGCCAAGTATGCAACAACACACAAGGCGAGCATGCAACAACATGCGAATGATAGACTTACACCAAGATGGACAGCTCTCTACTAGGCCCAAAACAGTGGCCAAATGCTATGGAAATGAAGACCAAAACACATACAAACATGCATGCACACATGGCCCAACTCTTAAGCATAAAGAAGCAACTTTTAAGCACACTTAAAAGAGGATAAACATGGACTAATGGCAAGCATAGCAAGCTCTGAAAATACATGAGGAATGATGCCAAATCAACCTATCAATGTAAGCAAGGCATGCAACTATATCCAAAACTCAAGGTAAGCCAAGGGGCTTAAACCATAGCTATATGAAGCAAGTCCCAAAGGGCCATGGGGACTCAAAACCACCCCAAGGCAAATCAAAACAAGGTCAAAGGCACACCTAGATGGCATCTAAATGGCCTAAGTCTAAAGGCATGCAAAAGGGTTCAAACATGGAGCATAAGATACCAACCTCTTGAAGCATTAAAGGAGCATCAAATGCAAGCATACAAGCATACCACAAGGACTGAAATGATGTTATAAGTGGTGCCAAACCACTGAAACAAGGCAAGTAATGCATGCTTAACACTCACACACCCAAGGCTAACAAGCCAAAATGCAAGGTGGCTATGCAAAGCATGTCATGGATGGCCAAAACAACTCCAAACAGACCTTAAGCATACTAAGACATGCATAAAATCTTCACAAAGCTAGGCCAAAAACATGCTAGAAACAAGGCACAAAATATCTGTCAAAAGTAGATGGACAGTGGTCGGCCAGCCAAAAATGCCAAATTGACTAAATAAATGGTCGACCGACCAAACATTTAGCCGATGGCAACAAAACAATGGCCGATGGCCTCAAGCCATGGCCGGTGAGATGTGGGGATGGCCAACAAGCCATTCCCTGCTCCTCAAAAGCAAAACACAAGTGTTTGGTGCAAAACCAAACACAAAACAGGCAAGTCGAGAGGTCTTGAGGCAAGGCGCGTGGCCGAGACCTCCGAGAACTCCAGCCGAACACGAACATGGATGATCACCGAGTGTTCAAACGGTGACGTCCAAGTCTTGAGGACGGTCAAAAATGGGGTGTCTACAAGTGTCCAGGATGAAAGTCCCAAAATCTTATATACATTTGAATGATGTTGATGATTGAAGTGTTGAAGATATGAGTTGTAGTCTCATTTTAAATTGCTTGGATAAAAATGAACCATGTTAATGAATTGATTTGGATAAATAAAAAGGAAGTGAATTGAAATATGAATGTTAATGTTGATTGGCTATGAAAAGAGTGTAAGTTGGTTTTCAAGTGTTGCACATTTATCGGATGCTAATGTGTTAGTTAATTCTCATGTGTTGTTTAGCATATCTCTACTGGGCTTTGGCTCACCCTACTTGGGACACCATTTTTTAGGTATAGGTGATATGCCGTCTCCGAGATCTTAGCTTGGGAAGTTTTGGAGTTGAAGACTTCCTTTTGTTATTCGTTTTGATGTTAAATGTATATTCAAGCCTAGGGCTTTCTATGTATAGAGCTAGGATTCTTTTGTTGTAACCAAGTGATGACTTAGAAAATTGTAAGCCCGTAGAGTATTTATTTATTTAATATCTTTTGTAAAGAATACTCTAATGAATGTAATATGTAACATTTCTATTATGCTTTATGGATTTTATAAATAGATGATTATGTCTTATTTTGATGGCATGACAGGGTCGGGTTATGACACTTAATCTATTTTATGTTATACAAAATTTACACCTAATTTGATGTAAATTGTCAAAATTTTCCCCACAATAATAACTCATATTGCAAAAATTATCACATTCAATAACTGTTCACCAAACCATCCAAAATTGCTAAAAGGTTTTCATCAATCATCAAATCGTATTTTATACAAAATAAAAGGTGTGTTTTTTTCTAAAAGATAAAACTGTTGTATTTAAACTTATCGCTAGTATGGAATAAAATCATGCAAGTTGAGTTTTCACAAAATATTAGGTTAATTATACAAACATTCTCTCAAATATTATCAAATATTACTTTAACTTCTTATTTATGAATCTATACATATTGATTATCTTAGTTATCAAAATCGGAGAATTCTAGTATACACATCCCTTACCGTATCCACCCTTAGTACGTCATTTTCTTCTTTAGTTATGATAATTTTTTTTTGTTTAGTTATGATATTATTTTGAGATTTTGGATTATGCCTCATTGGTGTTTGGTTATGGCTTTTTTTATTTTTCATTTTTTTATTATGACTGAGAGTGTGGAATTATGTGATTTTCTAATGTAGTAATAAGGTGAATATGGTACAAATAGTGTGTACCATAATCTTTCTCATGAGAATCGTACAAATACACTAATTTTGTGAGAGTCAAAATGTACGAATTGATAATCAATTTTTTTTGGGCCAACAATCCCGATTTTAGAATGGTGGAAATGTATTGAAAATAACTTAGAAAGGGAGAGACTTTCTCTTATCTTCATCTGAATTGGAGAGGCATTGTCTGGACTTGTAGGGTCTATCATGGGTCATATTTTGATAATCCAAACAGTTTATTTTTTTAGACACTTTGTGTACATTATCTAAAAAAAGTTAGATTACTCTAACAATGGTAGAATCTTTATTTTATCACATTTATCTTAAAACATAAATAAATAATTTTTAAAAACACACATATTATTTATTTATTTTTAAATATAAATCAAATAAAATAAAAATATTACAATTATTAAATTAATTTAATTTTTTAATAAATACTTACAGACTTAAACAGTGTCAGTCCAAACAAGAAAAAAAAGAAAAGAATATGTTAACGAAGTTTTTTTTATTTATTTATGAATATTTTAAAAAATTAAACTATTTATGTAAATAAGTAACCCTTCAAATTATTTATCAAATTAATTCACTTTTTAAAATTATATATTCAAAATATGATTTTATAGTGAAATTATATCTTAAACATATAATTGCATATTAATACCTACACACTAGTAAGTTATGTTAATATAAAATAATATTTTAAACATATAATTTTATTCTAAACTCACACTTTCAACTTATATTTTTTAAAAAGTAAACTAGTTTGATAAATAATTTAAAAAGTGAATTACTTTTTTTAAATTCTTTTAAAATAATTTGATTTTTTAAAATGTTAAAAAAAAAAAATCAAAAAAAAAAAAAAAAAAAAAACTCGACGTTCAGGAGATCACGTGAAGTGTAGATAACTGTTTGCAAGGACATGTGGCAGCGATGGGATTTTGAAATTGCAGTGACATTGCGTTGCATTGGATCTTTCCCCGAGTCACCAATACATACACACGAACAGAAAACGCACTCTCTCTCTTTCTCGTTTCAGGCAGCAGAGCTACTACGTCTCTGATCTGAGTCAGTGAACAAATCTCCATGGCGTTCTCAGTACAAGCAGGCACCACCGCCTTTCTATCAACCCCCAAACTCATTCCATCCACAAATGCCACTCTCTCTCATCATCCTTTCAGATCTCTCTCTCCCCTCTCTTCCTCCTCTCTTCCCCCCAATCTCTCCTCCTCTCATAACCCCTCTTCTCTCGCCGTCAAAGCTTCTTCTGCTTCTCCTTCTCCTTCCGCCACAGTAACCGACTCTCAAGGCATCAAGGTCTCTCTCTCGCACTGTCTCATACGCACACACACACATGTATACATTTATATATCACTCACGCACTAGTTTGGAATTGGATTCTTGATCATCAGATTAAATCAGTTCCAACAAAGCCAATCGAAGGCCAAAAGACTGGAACGAGTGGTCTTCGAAAGAAGGTAAATTTTCTCCTTGTCTGCTCGTCCTGTTTTACTTGTTTCCTTTGCTTTTGCTGTGGTGTGGATTTCTATTGGATGTGGATTGATTTTATTGTGTTTGTTGTTAGGTTAAAGTGTTTATGGAAGAAAACTACCTTGCCAATTGGATTCAGGTTCCAATTTGGACGTTTTTGCAGTCCTAAGATTTCTTTCTGTATTTTAGGGTTTAGTGCCTTGTCACTGTTATTGATTAGTTTTTATGAATATGAAGGCATTGTTTAATTCCTTGCCTCCCGAGGATTACAATAATGGGTTGTTGGTGTTAGGAGGTGATGGTCGATATTTTAACCGAGAAGCTGCCCAGGTGAGATTTTTTTATTTTTTTATTTTTTTTGCCACGAGTTCAATCTATTTTGAACTTTTTAGCTGAAGAGGTAATTCCTCTGATTCTTTTTTTAACGTTGCTTTGATGGAATTCCAGATAATAATTAAAATTGCAGCGGGAAATGGAGTCGGCAAAATATTTGTTGGCAAGTGAGTTAGCTGTCTGAGTTGCAAGATGTTATTAAACTCTTTAGCTATTTACTGTAGGATGAATGCCATGCTTCATTTGCTTTGTTTCTGAGATTGTTATGACTTTGATAAGGTATGCACAGTGTCGGTGCTAAATGCTAATACTTTCTTTTCCTTGCGTTTTCTTTTCTCTTTGACACACATTCGCATATATAATGCCATAATTATTTGTTAGTTTTGGGGTTTGTACTTCATTCTCAAATGGGAAAAGAAGAAGAAGAAAGAATATGATTGTAAATGCAGAAGTGAATTTGGAACAATATGTTCTTTACAAAACAAATGTAGAAGGCAAAGCATCTTGTGGAAATTTTACTAAAGCATTGTCAAACATAAGAGTGTCTCTTGCTATCCGTGCAGAGTGAAGTAGCGTTACAAACATCACTGTTGTCATTGAGGTAAACTTATACCTATTCATCAGTGCCAATGACTGAAGTTGCGATCTGATTAAATTTGTCTTCCCATGGTCAAAGTTAGACAAGGGGCCTGCATCATATTGAAAGGATGCTCATGTTTACAGCTTTGATAGGTGGGGCATAATATATGATGCAGTGTTAGAGGAAACTACTTTAAAGAAGTGCAGTGAAAGTGATGTCAGGGGAATCTATGTTGGTGCTGTTGGATTGATAAACAAGTCCATGGATTCTGAGAAATAATTTTGATAATTTTGGACTGGACTGCTTTGATGATAGTGGGAGCATGTTGGGTTGCTGTTGATTTTATTAAAGAATTCTCTAGAAAATTTCTTAGAACTTTCTGGGACTATGGGCTCAATGCTAAAGCAGCCAGGGCAAGAGTTTGGAGAAGGAATTGGGTCCCCAGATGACACAGTGTTAGGTTTCTTTGCCTGTCTACCAGGGTTCTCCTTGATTAGCACCCAAATACTGGAGGCACTGGGGCAACTTTAAGTCTGCTGATTGGACAGTGCAATCATTGGCAGAAGATTTATTTATAGAAACTGCAAGCCTGTACATTTGTATGTTCAAATCTCTTTGACTTCAGGAACTAAACTAATGTCAAACAGGAGCTAAAGTAATGTGTAACTGCAAACTGTATTGTGAAAATGGAGTTTGATATATGGCACTTACAGTCTGTTAGATTCTTTGTTAAAAATGATTGTATAATTGGATTTCATGTTCAAGAACCAATGAACAATTGTCTTGATAATAAAGCTTTTTCAGTCCAGTGTAACATGATAGACTAAAGGCAATATTGAAGTATGCTGATAGTATTATGCAGTTTCAGGTTATTGATAAAATATCAGATTATCTGTTTTTTTTGGTGATACACTATCAAATATTAGATCATCTTATATTTGGAAAAGTAAAATCTAAGAGATGTACAAATTCTACAGTCAAAAGAAAAAGATAGTCTAAATAGAGAAATCAAACAAACAACTATGGATTATTGTGAGTTCCAAGATTTTTACAACCAAATGATAAAGGGAGCTTCCCAAATATATTACAGTTTGTCACTTGAAACCCTTTGAATATATCTGTACAGAAATAGCTATGCCATACTACAACATCTTCACTAGTCGTGTCTATAGCTGTAACCCAAGATGGATGTTTGGAATTTTCAAACACCACCCGTTTCCCCTAGATCCAATGGGCTTCTGCAACCTAATTTCGAGAAATTTCGAATAAGTACAACATTTACAGCCCCATGCCCTACATGTTCACCCACCAACTCTTGCAAAGATTGTAGTATTAGTATACATGAAATTTCCATACTTCCCTGCAGTTTATCCTGTCAGGTTGAAAAATGTAGGATGAGTCATTAAGGTGGCAAGAAAAAAAAGAACATGTTTGGTACACAAATATTTTAAAGTTTTGTTTTGAAAACAAGTGAATAGAGGTGGTGGTTGTCGATAATTGCAAATGGTGGCCGAAGGTGGTTGCCACCAATGGCACGTGGCTGGTGGTGGCTAGAGGTGGTTGCCGATGGTTGGAGATGGTGGTCGGAGGTGTTTGTCGATGGTGGCTGGTCAGCCGCCTAAGGTTGTTTTGAACAAGAGGTGGTGGCCGAAGGTGATTATTGTTGGTGTGAGGTGGTTGGCAGCTGAGGCAGGTGGTTGGCGGAGGAGGTCATTGGCAATAGTAATTGGTAGTGATAAGCAATGGGTCAGAAAGGGTGGCAAAAAGAGGAAGAAATAAAAAAAAAAAAATAATAATTAAACAAAAGAAGCCAACTTTTTTGTGTTTAAACTATTTACAACTTTTTGAAAATGAAAACAAAAATCAAATGAGTTTTTGTTCACAGTTTTCAAAAATTTCGTAAATATATGCAAAAAAACTGTAATATAAATATTACCAAATAGACCCTAAGTGGCTCTATAATGAGTTTATTTATTTATTTATTTTCTGAATTATTTTAATACAATGTTAATATTATGTAGTCGTGGACAATATATGGTGAAGTGCCTGGATTGGACCCTATGGGAAGATGGCGGGGATTAAGATTGGAAGAAACCATTGTAGATTGAGGACATGAGGGCTTTAGCAGCCTTAGGTGAGAGAGAGAGGAGGGTGGAGGAGAGATCTCGTTCTTACCAAAGATGGAGAAGATGATTAGGAATGCCTTGGCATATGTATGAGAGCCTCCTTATATAGGGTGGTGGCCAAGCCATGGAAGCTAGCTCACCTTTGGATAAGTGGCTCAACCTCCTTAGTTCGATAACTTGGAAGATTAGACCTCATGGGTCGTATAATAAGAGCTGCAATGGTAGGTATGATATGATAAGCATTGAGAGTTGCATAAGAGGCCTTTCAATTTTAGGTGTGATATGTGCTATGCAATATCACACATCTTGGTTAAGGACTCTCTCCCTCTCTCTCTAAGAGTGGTTAAGCTAGAGCTACTCTGAAGAGGTGGGCCGAGCCACGTTGACAGTCACTTAAATCTAGACTTTAAGCCACATACCTCCAATGATCTCGAGAGGAGACTTATGTGTCCTGCTCTCAGAATAGCCTATCAACGTGGTGATGGAGATGTATTGACTGTCTACCAATAGGTAAAAGAACAATGTGTAAGGGGATCAGGGCTTAGTGGAGGATCACTTGGCCAATCCAATGGGATGCCAAACCATCTCACATCCGAGTGGAGATGGCATGGCCAACTTGGGATCCTTAGCCCAACTAAGTGGTGCCCTAGGACATTCCATAGGGTGTCCCATGTTTAGGCACATGCCATGGCATTGTGGCTCGAGATTAAGGCATTGATCGCATTAAATGACTAGACTACAATACTTGGTGGATTATGGGCTTAGGTCAAGCCCATAACCTTGCTAACCAATCTGGAGGTGATGTGGTGCCCGGTTGGCTTGCCACTAGGACATCCTTTTGTCTAACTCGAATATGATGTGGCACCTATGAGGCCTACCATGTGGTGGTGGTCATACAGATACTTCCAATATTAATTTTGAAAAAATACAAAAACCGAAATTTTATTAATTGTTGGTGGGTGTTTGCATTTTCTATAAAAGTTGATTAGTGATGGTTTAACACCAATCCTTGAATATGAAAATTGTCTACTTCTTGTTGGCATAGAACTTAAAGAATAAATGTGGAAAAAAAGGAAGAATTGTCAATTCATGTATCTCATAACCCCAAGGTGTTGACTTAGTGGTTAGTCACTTGGCCATGTGAGAACATTCGTTCATCTATGCATATATAGCTTTGTTTTCTTTTTAGTCACTTGGCCATGTGAGAATATTTGACCATGGTAGTGTTTCCTTTTTAGTCTTAGGATTAGGTTTACTATATAATCAGATGTATTCTTTGTATTAGTATACAATTTTGAATATACAAATTTATTCAGAAACTTACATGGTATTAGAGCCGTGTCCGAAACGCTAGTTCTCACCTCTGCTTGATTTGAAGTTTCCTCTGGTTCAAGGTTCTGCCTTTGATTTGAAGTTCGGTTTGAAGTTCTCTCCCTCTGGTTCGAAATCATCTCTGGTTTTGATCTCTGGCTTGATCGAGTTCTCTGGCTCAAGTCCTCATCTGAGTTCAAATCAACCCCTTTGTTTTAGCCTCTGGTTTGTGGCTGTCAGACGTGACCTCCCTCTGAAATAGCAGCCATGGTCGCGACCTCTCTCTCCGGAATCACGATCGTGGTAGTTGCCTTGTTTCTTTCGATCAACTTCAGTCTCCCTCTAGTTCTTTGCTTCGGTGCTTCCTTTGACTTAGGATCAGTGTTATTAAAGGTGCGCTTAGGCCCAAGTCCCATCCAGGCCCAAGCTTTGCGCCTTATAGTGTTCTAGGCTTGGCGACTTCGTTAAGGCTCATCTAGGCGTGCGTCTAGACCCAAGTCCCGTCCAGACCCAAGTCCCGTCCTGGCCCAAGGTTTGCGCCTTGTAGTGCTCCAGGCTAGGAGACTGTGACAAGGCACTTGACTGGCCAAGGCTTGCTTCTTGAGGGTTTTTTTTATTGTTGCTTTAATTAGTTTTGTTTAAAATCTAACCATTAATTTAATATGGTGCAGCTACAGAAGATCCTTACCCTTATTATAGATACCAATACATTGGGCATTCATCCCCAAATCAATGATAGAAGAAAAATTAGCCCTAATTCCTAATCTCCAAAAAATAGTAAATGTTTAACATTTCATTTTGTTTATATTAAACCCTAAATTATTTAATTATATAAATTATATATATATATATATTTTTCCGTACAAGGTGCGCCTTACTTCGGTGAAGCCTGTGCCTTACCTTGCGCCTTGAGCCTAGGCCCCTGGAGACCTTGGCGCCTTGGTGCGCCTATCGCCTTTAATAACACTGCTTAGGATAGTTGTGTTTAGCCTCCCTCTGGTGCTTCTAGTTTGGTGCTTTCATCTGACTTGAGAATATTTGTGGTCTCTAGGCCAAAATTCTGGTTATTATATTTTGACCCCACTTGGTTATTATATCTTTTGTTCAGGACCTTTGCAGTTTATTGGTTCTTTGGATAATTTGTTGCTTATTACAATTTAACCCATTTAGTTTTGGTTGTGGGTAATTACAGTTTGAACCCCTAAGCTTTCTGTTTATGATGTTTTTGGCTTCTGATGAGTGTGCCGTCTTCCATTAGAGGGGTCATTGGAAGTATCACTGTCCCAAGAAGGGCTGTTTGCCTGCCTCTACTCAGCAGTCTCAGAACCAATTTTGGGCTCCTCCTGTTGCTTATGTTGCATCTGCTCCAGCTCCTGATCTTGACTTAGCTTCCTTGAGTGCTCAAATTAGTCAGCTTTAGGATATATTGTCTACCTTCCAATCATTCCCATCTGTCTCCATTGTTTCCTTTCTTCATTCAGGTTTGCTTGGGTCTTTTTTAGGTATTTCTTCGTCTGTCTGGATTTTTGACTTTGGTGCCTCTCATCATAAGACTCCCCATCTCTCCTTCAAAATTGTACTCCCCTGTGTTTCCTATTATTATTAATGTTGCTAATGGGTCTGGTATGTCTGTTACATCTGTTGGGTCTGTTTTACCGTCTGCTATGTCTGCTATTTCTAATCTATTTGTCCTTTATGTTTCTCAGTTATCTGTCAGTTTATTATCAATCAGTCAGCTTGATGCCTCCGGTTTTGATGTTATCTTTTCTTTTTCTGTCTGTTCTTTGCAGGATCGAATGTCCAAGCAGCAGATTGGGACTAGTCGTAAAGTTGGAGACTTCTATGTGGTGGAGAGCCTACGACTATCTCTTCGACTGCTTTTTCCTCTTTTTGGTTAGATTCTTTGTCAAGTTTTTTCTATTTTTGGCATTTCAGATTAGGCATTTGCCTGCTAACCGCTTACGGTCTTTAGCTCAGTCAGGTATATTGGGTAAAAATTTTCCTAGTCTACTTACCGAGTATTGAGGGTGTAAACTTGCCAAAATGACGGCCTTACCTTTCCGTAAAAGTACCTCTATATCTGCTACACTGTTTTCTTTAGTTCATGCTGATGTTTGGGGTCTTTCTTCTATTCTCACTAAAGAGGGTTCTGCTTACTATGTTTCATTTGTTGATGACTACACCTGTTACACTTCGGTTTATTTATGACTCATAAGTCTGGCTTCTACTAGATATACTGTACTTTCCAATCTATGGTCACTACACAGTTTGGGTCTACTATCAAATTGTTGAGGTCTGACTTGGGCGGGGAATACTTTCAAACTGAGTTTTGTGAATATTTGACTAATTTGGGTACCATTCACCAAACTGCCTGTACTGATACACCTGCCCAAAATGGTCGAGCTAATCGTAAACACTGTCATCTCCTTAAGACAGCTAGGTCTCTCCTCTCTGCCTCCGTTCTAGCTCTGTTTTGAGGTGAGGCAGTTCTTATTGTTGCTTTTTTTCTTAACCGTATGCCTACCCCTTCCTTTCTGGTCGGTCTTCTTATGAGGCTCTATTTTCTTAACTTCCTAATTACTTCTTCATTTGTGTGTTTGTGTCTGCTTGTTTTGTCATTTTACCCCATAAAGATAGGACCAAACTTAGTGCCTAGTCTATCCTATGTGTCTTTTTGGGTTATAGTCTCACTTAGAAAAGTTATCGCTGTTATGACCCTATTTCCTGCCTTTATGTCTCTCGTCATGTTGCGTTTCTCGAACGTTTACCTTACTTTCAGCTTCCTCCTCTCATAGCCTTACTTTTCATAGAGGATTTAGTTTATATTGATCCATTGCCTTCTGAGATCCCTCTTGATGAGTACATCTCTGTTGTTTCCATGAGCTTATTCCCTCTTCTTCTTGTACCACCCCCTCTTAATGAGCCCCTCTACTGACCTCCATGAGTCTGTTCCCTCCTCTCCTCCTCCTTTCCCACTTGTTCTTGCTCCTGTTTCTTCTCCTTCTCCTTCGGTGTTAGTCTATTATCGTCGCAAGGTTCTCCCTCCATCAGTTGTCTCTGCTCCTGTTCCTGATATTTATGCTTCTGATAACTCTGATTTTGCTATCTGTAAGTATCCCCTTCGCATTTGTAAACAAGTAGTCAAACTTGGTTATGCTAAAACATGTTTTTCTCATTCATGCTGTACATTTTTGTCTACTATACTCTTTTTCAGAACCTCAGTCTTACAAGGAGGCCTGTCAGGATCCTCATTGGATTCAAGCTACGGAGGATGAGTTGTCTGCTTTGTAGAAAGCTAGTACTTGGGAGTTGGTTCCTTTTCTTGCAGGTAAGAATCTGGTTGGTTGCAAATGGGTCTACAAAGTCAAGACTCATTCTGATGGTTCTCTTGAGTGCTACAAGACTCGCTTGGTTGCCAAGGGTTTTTCCCAGGAGTATGGTATTGATTATGAGGAGACCTTTGCCCCTATTGCCAAAATGACTACTGTCCGTGCTTTGATATCTGTCGCTGCTGTTCGTCATTGCCCTCTTTATCAGATGGATGTTAAGAATGCTTTTCTTAATAGTTATCTCACTGAGGAGGTTTACATGTGTCCTCTCCCTGGCCTTCACTATTCTTCTAGACAAGTTTGTCGTCTTCGGCGTGCTCTGTATGGTCTGAAGCAATTTTCTCGTGCTTGGTATGATCGCTTTCAAACTGTTGTTATTGAGCTTGGGTTTCATCCTTCTGCCCAAGACTCTGCTTTGTTTCTTCTCCACACTTCTACTGAGTTTATTGCCTTGTTACTGTATGTGGATGATATGATTATTATTGGCTCTGATTCTTCTGTTATGTCTGAGGTCAAGCAGTATCTCTTACGCACCTTCGAAATGAAGGATTTGGGCCCATTGCGGTACTTTCTTGGTATTGAGGTAACTTCTTCTCCCAATGGCTACTTTTTATCTCAGGTCTATTTTTTGTCTCAGGCCAAGTATGCTTTGTTCACCGTGCTAGTCTTACTGACACTGAGATTGCTGATATCCCCATTGAGCTTAATGTGATCCTACTTTATATCTGGAGTTCATGGGTTGTTTAGTCTATCTGACGATTACTCATCCTGATCTTGCCTATGCTATTCATCTGGTTAGTCAGTTCATTTCTGCTCCTCGTTCTGCCCATTGGGTTGTTTTGGTTTGGATTATTCACTATCTTCGCGGTACTATCTTCTAAGGATTGTTGTTGTCCTCTACTTCTTCCTTGGCTTTAGTCGCCTATGCTGATGCTGATTGGGTTGGTGATGTTACAGATCATAAGTTCACTTCTGATTTTTGTATGTTTCTTGGCAATTCCTTTATTTCTTGGAATAGCAAAAAACAAACTGTTGTTGCTCGTTCTACTGCCGAAGCTGAGTACCTCGCTATGGCTCGTGTTACTACTAAAGTTGTCTGGCTTCGTTGTCTTCTCTCTGACTTAGGCGTCCTTCAATCTTTTCCAACCTTCCTCTCTTGTGATAATCGTAGTGCTATTTAGATTGCCCATAACACTGTTTTCCATGAGCGAACAAAGCGCATTAAGATTGATTGTCACTTTGTCCGTCAGTATCTGCAGTCTGGCTCTATCTCGCTTCCTTTTGTCCCTTAAGCTCTGCAACTTGCTGACTTTTTTACTAGGACTCACATCGCTGATCGATTTCAGTTGTTTCTTGGCAAACTTTCAGTTTTTCTGTTACAACACCTTGAGTTTGAGCAGGGGTGTGAGAATATTAGGTTAGGTGTATATATATGGTAGTGCTTTAAGTGTATATATATTGCAGTGTCTACTTTTTAGTCTTAGGGTTAGGTTTACTATGCAATCAGATATATTCTTTGTATTATGACACAATTTTGAATATACAGGATTTATTTAGAAACTTACACTGACATGGGTGGGGAATATTTTAAAATAGAGTTATGTAAGTATTTGGCTAATTTGGATACCATTTACTAAACTTCTTGTACTGATACGCCCGTCCGAAATGGTCGAGCAGAGCATAAACACCGTCATCTCCATGAGATAACTAGGTCTCTTTTTCACTTTGACTTTGTTTTGGCTCTATTGTGGAGTGAAGCCGTTCTTACTGCTGCTTTTCTTCTTAACCATATGCCTACTCCCCTTTTCCTTGTGAGATTTTGTTTTCTCAACTTCTCAATTACTCCATCCTTCGTTTGTTTGGGTCTCTTGTTTTGTCATTCTTTCCCGTAAAGATGGGACCAAACTTAGTACCCGGTTTGTCCTGTGTGTCTTTTTCGGCTACAATCTCACTCAGAAAGGTTATCGCTGTTACGAACCTATTTCCCGTCGCCTTTATGTCTCTTGCCATGTTTCATTTTTCGAGTATCTGTCCTACTTTCAACTTCCTCATATTACTACTCAGATTTTCAAAGAGAATTTGGTTCACATTAATCTGTTTCCTTCTGAGGTGCCTCCTGATGAGTGCATCTCTACTATTCCCCATAAGCTTTTTTCCTCTTTTTCTCTTACTACCCTTCCTAGGTTGGTTTACATCTACTGTCCCTTATGAGTTTGTTCCCTTTTATTCTTCTCCTCTCCCTCTTCTTCCTGTGTTAGTTTATTCTCATCACAAGGCTCTCCCTCCTACTTTTGACGACTCTAATCTTGCTAACTGTAAGTATCCCATTCGCAATTGTAAACAAGTAGTCAAATTTGGTTTCGCTAAAATATGTTTTTCTCCTTTATACTGCTCTTTTTTTGTCAACTATTCACTCTTTTTTAGAACCCTAGGCTTACAAGGAGGCTTGCCAGGATCTTAATTGGGTTTGAGTTATGGATGATGAGTTGTTTGCATTGCAAAAGATTGCCACTTGGGAGTTGGTTCCTTTGCCGGTTAGCAAGAATCTAGTTGCTTGCAAATGGGTCTATAAAGTTAAGACTCATTCTGATAGTTCTCTCGAGTATTACAAAGCTCACCTGGTTGCCAAAGGTTTCTCACCGGAGTATGGTATTAATTATAAGGAGACCTTTGCCCTGTTGCCAAGATGACTACTGCTCATAATTTGATTTCTGTTGCTGCTATTTGTCATTGCTTTTCTTAATGGCCATCTCGCTGAGGAGGTCTACATTCATCCTCTCCCTGGTCTTCTTCATTCTTCTGGGCATGTGTATAGTCTTCGGCTTGCTCTGTATGGTCTGAAACAATCTCTTCGTGCTTAGTATGTTTGCTTTTATAGAACTATTACTCAGTTGGGGTTTCATCCTTGTGACTAAGATTCTGCTTTATTTCTCCTTCACACTTCTGTTGGTTTTGTTGCCTTGTTACTGTATGTGGATGATATGATCATTACTGGCTCTAACTATTCTGCTATCTCTCAGGTCAAGCAGTATCTTTTCCACACTTTCGAAATGAAGGATCTAAGTCCATTACGGTATTTTCTTGGTATTGAGGTTGCCTCTTCTCCAAAAGGCTATTTTCTGTATCAGGCCAAGTATGCAAATGAGGTTATTCACCGTGCCAGTCTTACTGACATTAAGATTTCTGATACCCCAATTGAGTTTAATGTGAAGCTTAACATTACTAGTGGCATCCCTCTGGATGATCCTACTTTATATCGAGAGCTTGTGAGTTGCTTAGTCTACTTGATGGTTCCTTGCCCTGATCTTGCCTATGCTGTTCATGTGGTTAGCATGTTCGTTTTTGCTCCTCATTCTACATTTTGAGCTGCTTTGGTTCGGATTCTTTGCTATTTTTGGGGTATTACGTTTCAGGGTTTATTGTTGTCTTCTACTTTCTCTTTGGACTTGGTATTGATTCTGATTGGGTTGGTGATATTAATGATCGCAAGTCCATTTCTGGTCTTTGTATGCTTCTTGGCGATTCCTTGATCTCTTGGAAAAGCAAGAAACAAATTATTGTTGCTCACACTACTGCCGAAACTGAGTGTCGTGTTATGACTCATGCTACTACTGAGATTGTTTGGCTTCGTTGTCTTTTGTCTGATTTGGGCATTCCTTAGTCCTCTCCGACCTCTCTATATTGTGATAACCAAAGTGCTATTTATATTGCTCATAACACTGTCTTTCATGAACGGACAAAGCATATTGAGATTGATTGTCATTTCGTTCGTCAACATCTACAGTTTGGCTCTAGCTCGCTTCCCTTTATCTCTTCAACTTTGCAACTTGTTGACTTCTTTACCAAGACTCACATCACTATTTCGGTTTCTTCTTGACAAACTCTCAGTGTTTTCTGCTATCACACTTTGAGTTTGAGCGGGGGTGTGAAAGTATTAATGTGTCTATGTATATATGGTAATATATATTGTGTATATATTCTGAGATATTCTAGGAATTGTGTATAGGTTATTTCCTCTTTTGTATTAGGATTGGGAAGCTATTTAATCAGTTGTATTCTTTGTAATTATTCACAATTGAGTATATGAATTCATTCAGAAATCTTATAGGCCCTTGGTGCCTCATGATGCATAGGTTCAATTCCATTGAGTGCTATCAATTCCTTTGGGGCCATGCTCGCGGGCATAGCCCGAGATTTACCTAACCTGCGTGGAGGGGTGCTTTGCGTGGGTCTTGGGATTAGTTGGGGTTTTCTAAAATACCCGATTATTAAAAAAATAAAATAAAATTCATGTATCTCATAGATTTTGCAATTCTCTTCAATTTGATGGTATTCAAATGTGTAATAGTACAATGTATTAAATGTATGCAAACTAACACAGTCAGTAAAGCGAGATTCCACTATAGATTAGGGGTTCAATGCCTTTATGAGTTTCTTTCCCTTATTTACTTAATGCAACAGGTTAAATGTATTTGTTCGCCATACAAAAACAAATGGATTGGTTTGTTTATGTTCACTTGTTGATTTTATTGGTTCATGTAATTGTTGAGAAATGGAAGATACCAGCAGAAAGATCACCCTGATATTATTACGATTGTTTCGTTAGAACACATGCAACTTTTAAGGTTTTGGTGTGGTTAGAAGTTTAGTCGAGCCTCTTTAAATTTCATAAATTTCCAAATGTTTCATTTTATTTTTAGTATATGAAGTCTCTCATGTTCTGGTGGAGAATTATATTGTCCATTCTGAAATCTCTTGTTTTCAATAACCATTTAACTATTACTCGATTGTCTACATTCATGCAAGCAATTTGCGACTTCAGTTACAATTTTTGACTTTGATGAGGGTTTGGTAGGGAAACTAAAGATGGAATCTCATTGTTGCAGAGAAGGTATTATGTCCACACCGGCTGTTTCTGCTGTGATACGGAAGAGAAAGGTGAACATGTCTATTTGCTTTTATTATTGGGGACCTATGTCTGACCCTTTTCGTTACCATTTTCTTTTCTCTTTTCACAGGCCAATGGTGGTTTCATAATGAGTGCAAGTCATAATCCTGGTGGGCCAGAATATGATTGGGGTATCAAGGTGAATTCTTAATGCTCATACTCTTAGACTAGGATTTGAACATTTTCCTGTACCGGGGGCCATATGAAAAAATATCCTACTAAAAAATAACTCTTGGTTGGATCTAATCCACCTTTTATGCACAGTCACGTTTAGATGATTTTATAATCACTGCTATTTATGATTTCAACTAAAACAGTTAGTGTACTGTTTTGAGGAAAATCCATGTATATCAGTGCAAAGGATTCTAAAATCTGTATATTGTTTATGTGGAAATGAATTAACTTTCTGCACAAAATGGTAGATATTAATATATAATATTTGCAACTTGCTCAATGTTTTCTGATACATGCTATTTTTTCCATTGTTCATTTTACAGTTTAACTACAGCAGTGGGCAACCGGCACCTGAATCCATCACTGACAAGATTTATGGAAACACACTTTCTGTATGTATCTGCTCCAATATGTGTGCTTGGAAATTACTGTTATCTGGTTTGCATGTTGTTGAATATCGTTAGTTGCTGCTTGCTTTTGGAAGGGGTGAAGAAATAAGTTGTAAAAATTCTGAATTTAGTGTTATGATGATTGTGACGAGGTTTTGCATACGTATCATTGACTATATGGGACGTGGAAGTTATAATTGAATTTGTACAAGGACATCTCTGTCAAGGCTGTTTGGAGTTGTGAATTGGTATTCACTTCTTCTGACAATTCTATGCATCGGACGATTTGTGGGTAGTATTTATAAGTTATTGGCTAAAGTTTTCTCCAATAGACTTCGGGGTGTTCTAGAGGGAGTGGTGTCAGAGTCACATAATGTTTTTGTGGGTGGTCGACAGATTTTGGATGCTGGGTTTGTGGCTAATGAGTGTGTGGATTCGCGGATTTGGCAAGGAAATGAAGGGTTGATCTGTAAGTTGAATATTAAGAAGGCCTATGACAATGTAAATTGGAAATTTTTGCTGTATGTGCTAGAGATGATAGGTTTTGGGGAGAGGTGGAGGCAATGGATTTAGTTTTATATTTCTATTGCGCGGATGTTGGTCTTAATGGGATGCCGGCGAGTTTCTTTCCTACTTGGAGAGGTTTACGGTAGGTTGATCCTTTTGTCTCCATTATTGTTTATTTTGGTTATAGAGGCGTTGAGTTGGTTGTTGTCTAGAGCGGTCCAAGGAGGTTTGTTATCGGGCTTTGAGGTGAGGGTGGGACTTGATTCTCTGGTGGTCTCTCTCTCATCTCTTCTACGTCGATGATGCGTTGATTTTTTGTGATGCGGATGCCGTTCAGATTGGAAATCTGTGGTGTGTGGTTTGTGCTTCGAGGCGGTGTCGGGGGGGTTAATTTGGCAAAGTCAGAGTTGATTCCAGTGGGTGAGGTGGTACAACTCCCGGTGTTGGCAGCTGGTTTGGGCTGTAAGGTGGCTATGTTACCAGTGTCTTATTTGGGATTTCCTTTAGGGGATTACTTTCAAGGGGACAAGGGTTTGGAATGGAGTGGTGGGGGTAGAGTGCAATGACAGTTAGCGGGGTGGAAGCGTCAGTACTTGTCTAAAGGGGGTGGATTACTCTGATTAAGGGTGTCCTTGCCAGTGTTCCGATGTATTTTATATCGGTGCATGTGATTCCTGTGGTGGTGGCAAAGACGGTTGCTAGGCGGTTGGAAAAGTTGCAATGAGATTTTTTGTGGGGTGGTGGAGGGAAGAGTTTTCATTATCATTTGGTGGCTTGGGATGGGATTTGTATTCCAAAGGAGAGGGGGGTTTGGGTGTGAGGAGGTTGGTGGTGTTCAATCAGGCTCTTTCGGGGAAATGGTTGTGGCGTTTTGTGGAGGAAAGGGAGTGATTGTGGAGGGTATGGTGGCTAAGTATGGGATGGATAGGGGGTTGGTGTTTGAACAGGGTGGGTCAATCTCATGGCTGTAGTCTTTAGAAGGGGGTTTGGTTGGGGAGGAAGGATATTTGGGATAGGGTTCGGTTTAAAGTGGGGGTGGGGGATCGGGTCCGGTTTTGGCAGGATAGGTGGTGTAGTGAAGGTCTTTGGTGTGCATGTTTCCACTGATATATGCTATTGTAGTAGATGAGGAGGAGTTGGTTGCTTCAGTTAGGGTGAGGCAAGGGCAGTCAACTATTTGGAATGTTCACCTTCGTCGTTGTCATGACCCTGAATCCGCCGCTAAAAGTTTGGGTTATAACCGACCAGTAATCCGTGGATTACCGAAGGCCTCAAACGATCATACAAAATATTTATGTTAATGGGGCCATAACGTAAGCGTATAATAAAAGGGAGTCCATTGAGCTGTGCCAATCATGAGCAAGATCATAGAGATAACTACGTAACATATTAAGACGTTTACATGCCCAACAAAAATTATAAGAACCAAAGGAAAAATTGTACATGGTGATTATAATCCAAGACCATGAAAACAAAAACAAAACAAGGTCAAAGTGTGGCATGAGTAAAGACAAGACTCTGATTCGGAGGCATAACTCAATTGGGTCACAAAAAGGCTCCTGAAGCTGACTCTAGGGGTGTACTCTATGCTGTTGATCAGCTACATGTGCATAGATAAAATTGGATGAGCGAAGCTCAATGAATAATAATACAGTAAAGCAGTGTACGTAGATGATCACGATGTCCATAATCATATAAATCAAGCGGCCTCGGGCTCAAGCATATAACAAGCGGCTTCGGGTCTAATCATTTATCAAGCGGCCTCAGGCCTAATCATATGACAAGCTGCCTCGAACCCAATCATTTAGCACATGTCATGTAATATTAATTAAGTTTTGTCATTTCCAATCAATACCTAATGTTGGCACCAACGCAACAAAGAGTATAAATGTACAATATTACTACTCACAGTGTGTTTGATCTCGCGGTGTCTCTTCGGCCACACGACCTACATAAACATTTCACACGTACATTCGTTGAATCGTTTGCTTCAATTGAGCTATTTTCTTTCACTATTCACTACCTTCTTTAATGAGTTTTCAAGCATCATTTCACTCCCAAAAGGTTCAAAATATGGTTGGGAGTGCATTCCAGAAGTCGGGGTAGTAAGACAAAGAAAGCACAATTTTTTTCTTGTTGGGCTGCACGTGCGGCCCTTCCAACCGCTCGAGTGGTCTGGCTCTACACGTAGGGAAATGGCCGCCGCTCGAGCACACAGGGAGGAGTGGGTTTAGGCAAAAATCTTGGGCCCTCATGCGGAGCCTGTGGCCGCGCTACATGAGCGGTCTGGGCTCACTTAAGCAGTCCGAAAATGGCTCAAAGATGCAAATATTTTCATTCCAAGCCCAAGCCCAAGCCCAAGCCCAAGCCCAAGTCCAAATCCATGTAAACACAATTCAAAAACATGATAACTAAGCATGATATAAGTGTAATTTCTCATTAAACATATCAATCTTGCATCAACAACAATTTCATGGTCTCCATACATAAGTTCAAAATACATATATTCATGAATGATTTTCTCACCAATCTTGTTTATGTGAACCATCTAGGGTTTGTTTCATGGATCAATCATAAAAATAAACTCAAATTAAACAATGGTGTAGAGATTAGTTTAATGTCTTTAGCCCTAGTCACCACACAACTCAAAACCCTAGCCCAAAATTCCTAATCTCTTCATGATTTCTAGTCAAAAATGAGTTAGAGACAGAGATTGTAAATAAATTTTCATACCTTAACTCAAATCTATGGTTTGCCCCTTGATTCCCTTGAAATACCTAGATTTCTCCTCTTCCTCTCTCTCTAACTCACACTTTGGAGCCCTCTTCCACAAATGAAGAACGAAGAGGCTATACATGTACAAATTAACTCAAAAATCTTAATTTATTCATTACGAATCATAATTTTTCAACCTCACCAAAGGCTCTAAAAATCATGCTAATCATTGCTATGAAGTCGATTTTTGTTTATCGCGCCTCTACGACCTTCAATTTCGGTTCAAAGTTTCAATTGCAACAGGTATTCTTACTTTTAACAGATATTTTTCCAAATTCACATATTTTCCACACTTGAATTTGCAAATTCACATCAAACATCTAATCATATGCATAATTAAACATATTACAGGTTGAGTTATCACAGTTTTCCCCCTTTTAGGATGTTTGGTCCTCCAAACTTGTTTACCTCAAGTTGAAAACGATTCCGAATATCATTGTCTCATTTCTTCTTTCCGTTCTCAAGTGGCTTTGCTTCCATGATGTTCTTTCCATTCCACCTTTACCATTGGAATAGTCTTGTTCCTTAGTTGTTTGACTTGCCGATCAAGGATTCGAAGGGGTTTCTCCTCATAAGCCATATCGCCATCTGTTGTGAGTCGTGCCTTTAATTCTTGGAAAGCGGACTCCCTTTGTTCCTTCCACTCAAATGGAACACCTTTTTGAGTCAATTAGGTAAGCGACACCGCAATCTTAGAGAAATCCTTAACAAATCTTCGGTAGTAACCGGCTAAATCCATAAAACTACGTACTTCCGTAACATTGATAGGAGCAGGCCAATTCACAATGGCTTCTATCTTTTGCGGATTGACAGCCACACCATACTTGTTAATTACATGCCCCAAGAACGCTGCTTCATTCAACCAAAATTTACATTTCTTCAATTTAGCATATAATCTCTTGTCCCTAAGTGTCTGAAGAACTAATCTCAAGTGCCTTTCATGTTCCTCCACTCTTCGAATAAATATGAATGTTATCAATGAATACCACCACCACCTCATCCAAGTACGGTTTGAAAACCCGATTCATTAAATCCATAAAAGCTGCCGGTGCATTCGTAACCCCAAATGGCATGACTAAAAATTCGTAATGGCCGTACCTGGTTCGGAAGGTGGTCTTCTTAATATCCTCTGCTTTGACTTTCAACTGATGGTACCCGGATCTCAAGTTAATTTTTGAAAACCCTTGTGCCCCTTGTAATTGGTCAAACAAATTATCAATCCGTGGTAAAGGATATTTATTCTTCACCGTTATCTTATTAAGTTCTCGGTAATCAATACATAACCGAAGGGTTTCATCCTTCTTTTTCACAAACAAAACGGGTGTGCCCCATGGCGATGTACTTGGTCGGATGAACCCTTTGTCAAGCAGTTCTTGCAACTGTATTTTCAATTCCTTCATTTCTGCCGGAGACATTATGTATGGAGCTTTGGGAAATAGGTTGAGTACCCGGTACGATATCAATGACAAATTCAATGTCACGATTTGTCAAGTCCCTTGGCAATTTTTCGGGAAATACATCCGGAAACTCACTAACAATCTGAATATTTTCAACACCCATCTCAGTTGTCTCTGCATGCAAAATGCTACACAAATACCCTTACAACCCTCTGAAGTAGTTTACAAACTTTCATAGCAGATATCAAATAGGGTGGAGGGACTACCCCATGTCTCACGAAAGTAAACTCATCTTGACCCGGTGGGCGGAAAACAACTTGCTTA